TTTAAAGCTTCCAACCTCGTCCTCTGGTCTGCCGGCATCTCAGCGGTGGGAGTTGCTGCTCCAGTCTCCACCACAGCCCAAAGCTCTTTGGACCGGAGAAAGTTTTCCATCACCATGCTCCAATGATCGTAGTGACCATCAAAGCGGGGAATAGAAGGTTGAACAAAGCCTTCAGATGCCATGGATCAATTGATATTGCTGCTGCAGTGAATTTATGTGGCTCTGATACCAAATGTAGACTGGGTTTCTTTGGGAACTTTTATCAAACAGGTTGTGAGCAACCTTAATAAGAAGAAATATATGAAACTAATATAAATTGGAGAACTCAGGAAATCAACAGAGGAATCAGAGAAGAACTTAATGATATATTATTCCATAGGAAAGCCAATTTATAGGCCATACATGAAAGAAACTATATCTGCTAAAAAGAAGGAAAGCCATAGAAGTGTACAGCTACTTCCTAAAGAATAGGACAACAAACTTGATTAATACGGAGTACTAAAAATACTGAGTCAATACTAGACTTATTCAGCATTGGACTTATTCAACATTACTTATTCTTCAACATAAAATACGCTACTTCCACGGACCATATCTTCCGGCCAAGAGCAAGTCTGCTGTTCATCTGCTCTTGACTCATTGCGAAATTGCGAAGAAGAAGAAGTCGAAGGGTAGGTGAGAAATGTCAGTCTGAGAGTCGACAATGAAAAGGGGAAAACGACGGCCTTGCTATTCCTCTTCTTTTTCCCTTTTTCTTTTTAATATTACTCCCTCCTTAACTCGTTCTAACATTTACTCCTTTCCTCCGGGTCTTTTTGTTTACTTACCTTTTATCACACCATTCAATGCATTTCTTTAATGCATTTTATCTTGTAATTTGTAAATTAAAAAATTATACAAATTATATATTAATAATTAATATGTTAAGATGAATCAAACAAGATCACACATGACTATTTTTAGGCTTACACATAAAGAGAATTTGATGAGTCAAAGTGCTTAAATGAACAGTTTCAAAAGTCAAAAGTGGACAAATACAATGGGACGGAGATAATATTTTGTATTCCCTCCCCCCTATTTTGGTTACAAATGATACGGAGTAATTACGAATTAAAATCTTACAATTTTTAAAATTATTTTATTTTTAAAATTAGTACATTAATAAGAAATACAAATGTTATACAACAAACGGTAACAAAAAAAATTTTTATCAAATAAATAATGAAAACAAACAAATAAAAAAATTATCAAGAAGAGAGAAATAAATTTGTAATCAAAATTAGGACGGATGAAGTGTAAAGTAACAATAATCTTTAACAGATACGTAGTAAGAAATAAATAAAAAAAAAATGAAGAGATACGTTAAGAATTTGTAGTAATAAAAGTGACTTCACGAAAATTAAGAAAAAGTTTGAATTTTCATGAAAATTATGAAAAGTCAAAAAAGTGTTATGTGATAAATAAATTAAGAATTATTAAAGGATAAAGACCAAAATAGGACTAAAACTTTGAAAATATACCAAAATAGGATTTCTATGTTTTTATTCTCGAAATAGGACTTACATTACGAACCATGGTCATATACATTATCAAAAAGCATAGAATTTTGCACATGTACACTGCCATATTACCACAATGCAAGGTTACATTACCACAGTGCAAAGTCCTATTCCGGGAAAAAAACATGAAAGTTCTATTTTGGTACTTTTATCTATGTTTTAGTCCTATTTAGGATGATTCCTAAATTATTAAACATAAAAGTGACTTTTTAGTAAAATGAAAAAAGAATGGTGTTGAGTTAAAGTGTACTTGCTTCTTGATTGTAACTGAATCATTTGAGTAGTAATAAAATTGTGCTTTTGTTCAAAAAAAGAAAAAAGTTTTTTGGATAGATGAAAAAAGAAAGTGAAAAAAATTTTGTGTGACGGAGAGAGAACTAAAACATAAGGATTTTCTCAATATAGTATCATGTATTTTTATTTTCTAACGTAGTACCACTAATCATTGTTCAACTAAATGTCTAACGCTATTAGAAAATGTTCAAACTAAATGTCTACCGTCAATGGACATTGTTCTCACTACTCCACATTATTCAAGTATTATTTAGAAAATAAAAAATTAAAGTACAAAATGAAAAATAACATTTAAATTTGTTTTAGTACTCCCTCCGTCCTAAAACTTTCTTCCCACTTCCCCTTTTTCACCGTCCTAAAACTACCTTCCCATTAGAAAAAAAAGATGACAAATGACATTAATACCCTCATGTATTTACACCAATTATCTTCTAACTCTATATTTTGAATGATGGTAAAAAAAATTCAAAAAATCTTTTTTAAGGAGGGTAAAATTTGAAGTCAAAGCCAAAAATTAAAAATGGAGAAAAGTCAAGCTGGAAAGAAAGTTTTAGGATGAAGGGAGTAATATTTAGTGTAAATTTTACATTAATATATCAAGGGTCCACTTTCACATTCCTGATTCCGTTATAATGAGTTTGGGTCCAATTAGTCATAACTTGGGTCCGCTAACTCCGTTTTATGATCTGTTTCACTGTTTGTAAGGTCCGATTCAGGACAAAAAATTTTACACCTAAGAGCAATTCCAATGGTAGGAGGTATCTTGGAGAGGTATATATCTCATTTACCTCTTTAAGTGATCAAGTTTATCTTTTCAAAAAGTGTGCAACTCCAATGGAGGAAGGTAAATCAAAAGGCAAAAGAGGAAAAAATTCATCTCGATACATTATTGGAAAAAAATTAGTTGATTTACTTTCTTAAATCAAATTTTTTAATTTAAAGATTTTATAAAAATACAACTAATTTATTGGGGAAAAATTTAGAATGTTAGTTTTGAAATAATTAAATATACATTATGTCCAATTGCACATGTAAAATTATAAATACCCGAATAGAAAAAACTTAAAAATACAGAGTGCAAAATTAAAAAAACAAAGTATCCTTGTTTTAATTCTTGACTCATTAAGTTTTACAATTACAAAGATACAAATTAAAAATTTATAATAATACATTCAAGCAAAAATACAATAACTAAAGTAATTGATGAAATAAATTTAAAAGGTGGGAAAAGTTGATATACCTCCCCAAATGAAGAAGGTAAAGGTACATCTTCAAAATTGAAGAAGGCATAAGAGTAAATTCCATAATTGGTCATTTATAACAGGGGGGTTTCCATATTTAGTCCTATATTATCAAATATTACCCTCGTAGTCCTTTTTTTAAGGGTACCTTTCCACAAATGGTCCTTTTTTTGATCTTCTGCCGTGTTGGTGTTAATTTAGAGGTTAAAAGTATAACTTGACGTTAACATTATGTCTAGTGACGTGTTCTGATATATTTTAAACGGATAACACAAAAGTAATGACTCTGATCGTGGATTAGAATTCTGACGAAAGATCACATTTATAGACTATAGTTGTCATAAAAAATGACTATAATTCACAAACGATGCAAACGGAACAGCCTTTGGAATTGTGTATGACAAAAACGATATATTATCATTGTGAAATTACACTTTTAGCCCTCAAATTAACACCAACATGATAGAAGATCAAAAAAGGACTATTTTTGGAAAGGTACCCATAAAAGAAGGACCACTTGGATAATATTTGATAATAGAGGACTAAATAGGGAAACCCCCCTGTTATAAAGGACCAATTATAGAATTTACTCAAGGTATAATGTCTCCTTATTTACCTCTCCCATTGGAGAATGATTTTTAATGAAAAGAGGTATATATCAAATTTATTCTTCTTTACCCTTTCATATACCCCTCCCATTGGAGTTGTTCTAACATAAATTCTCACATCAAAATACAAATTAATTAATTTCTCCGTATTTAAATGAATAATTAATTAATTATTTAATTGAGGGACTCATGAAGCTGGAGCGGACCACTTGAGGATTGATTTATCAATTTAAGGGACCCATAAAGCTAGAGCGGTCCACTTGAGGATAGATCCGTCCATTTGAGGGACCCATGAAGCTAGAACGGTCCACTTGAGGCCAAATCTATCCATTGGATGGATCCTTGAAGTTGGAACGGTCCATTTGAGGCTAGATACATCCATTTTTGGGACCTTTGAAGCTGGAGCGATCTAGATATGTCCCTGCTCGCTGAAGATGACCGTTGGAGAGGACCGCCGGAGAGTACCGCTGTAGAGGACCGCCGGAGATGACCGCTGGAGAGGGCCGCAGAGAGGACCGCCGGAGGGGACTTCCAGAAAGGATCGCGGAGAGGGGCTCGCCACTTTCGTCCGTGGTTCGGCGGAGGAAGTCGGAGCTCGCTGGATCTCGTTGAAGATGAAGACCTTCTTGTTGTCAATGAGGCTCACCGGAGCAGAGGGAGCTTGATGGACAAACTGGAGCAATCACGTCCATTGCCATCCGCAACTCACCAGAAGAAGTGGGAGCTCGTCGGAGGGCCACTGTTGCCGTTCGTGGCTCGCCGGAGGAAGTGGGAGCTTGCTTCTTCCAGGCCAAGGTTCGTCGGAGTGGACAATTGCTAGAAGTATGGCTCGCTGCTGGATACCTCCAGAGATGAAGCACGCTAGAGAGCTTGCTGGTCTGGGAGGATGCTCACCCACCCTGGTGGAGGGTACTGCCGGCAGCCCTACCGCGTGCTCGCTGCTCGCTGGGAAGATTCCCGTTGTTCTTCACAGTGGCTCGCTGCTCGCCGGCCTTGGTGGAGGGCACTGCTGGTGGACCGGATTGATTTAGATGTGGCGGACCGTCCCTCTCCCTCTTTCCTCTCTCTGTTCTTTTTTTGCTCCCGTGCGGATCGTCCACTCTCTTATCTCTTTTTGCTTTCTCTTTTTTTCCTCTCTTTGTACCTCCCCCCTCTCTCTCTCTCTCTCCTCTTTTTTGTTCCCCATTAGAGCTGGCAAATCGGTCGGTCAGGTCGAGTTCGGGTTCGGTCACTTCGAGTTTGGGTTATTTCGGGTTCGGGTCAATTCGGGTTCGGGTTGAGAACTCTATGTTCATGACCCAGTGTCATCGGGTTCGGGTTGACCCAACGGGTTATGACTTTGGTTTTTTAAATTTTTAAATTCACATTAACACTTACATTTTCTATTTAATAAGTTTAAAATATCAAAAACAATGTATTAAATTTATTAGATTATTTTATTTTAAATTATGAATTATTTTTTAGATATATAAATCAATATAAGGAATTTAAAAAATGCTTAAGTTTTAGAAAAAAGTAAGATAATTATGCAATATCATTAAAATTTTGCCTGAAAATATAAAATTATACACTAAAAACGAGCAGTAAAGTGTGTGATTTTGAAAAATTCTTACTTTAGCAGGTCGGTCAGGTCGGGTTCGGGTTCGGTCGGGTTTGACCCATTTTTAACAGGTCATTTCGGGTTCGGTCAACTTCGGGTTCGGTCATAAAAACCTTTGTTCAAAACCCAATGTTTTCGGGTCGGGTTTCGGGTCAAAAACAGGTCGGGTCATTTTTTGCCAGGTCTATTCCCCATCCTCTTTTTGATTTTTTACC